GGGGTCGCGGGAGCCGAGCCCGAGCCGCGCGCCTGCCGCTGCCTCCTCCGCCTTGGCCGCCGCCGCCGTCACTGCCTCGGCCGCCCCGCTGCTGCTGCCGCGCGCCCGCCCGCCCTGCTGGCGTTTTGTTGTGGTTCCTGCTGTTTTCTTTCTCTCTTTTTGCAGCCCCCCCAGGCTCCGAGGCTCCCCCCAACACCCCTGCTCCCCTCGCCCGCTCCCCCCCGCGCTCCGTTCCTGGGGGGGCCGCGCTCTCTCCTTCCCCCCCTCCCCACCCCCCGGCGAGCGAGCTCCCTTCTCTCGCTTTTTTCTTCTTCCCCAAGTTGCAAAATCAGAAATGGCACAGGCGGCGGCAGCCGGGAGCGGCGCGGGGCGCAGCGCCGGGGGCGGCGGGCATGGGCCACGGCGCGCGCACACTCGCCCTCCGCCTCGCCCGCACCCCCGCGCGCGCACACACACACTCACACACACACACACACACACTCACTCGCGCACACACTCGCTCACCGCGCCCGGCGCCCGCCGGCCGCTCGGGCTACGCGCAGCAGCGCGCGGGCTGCGCCGACATAGAGGAAGCCGCGAGGGCGGAGGCGGCGGCGGCAGAGCGGGAGCAGGAGCGGGAGCCCGAGCCGGAGCCGGAGCCGCGGGAGCGGGAGCGGGAGGAGCAGCAGGAGGAGGTCGCGGCTGCAGGCGCCGCTGGAGGAGCCGGGGCCCGGGTGGAGTGCGCGTCGGAGTCGGGGCCGCAGCCCGAGCGCGCGGCGAGGCAGGGCCGCTCGCGCCGCCGCCGCCGCTGTCCCGGCGGGAGCCCTCGCGGGGCGCGAGCGTGCGGGGAGCGGCGGGCTGAGCCGAGCCGGACGCGGGGCGAGGCTGCTGGCGGCGATCAGGGCGCGCGGGTGTCGGGGGGCCAGGTCCAGGGCCGGACGCAGCCAGCCATTCAGGAAGGCAGCGCTGGAGAGCGGGAGGCGGCCGGCGAGGAAGATCACACACTTTGCTCTTTTTGTTGTGCCGGTGGCGCCGGGCTCTCGCTGCCTTCTTCTTTCAGGAGGTGACGGAAGGGGGAGAAAAATGCGGGATAATTCACTCCGGCGACGAATTCACAGCGAGATAGGAAAAAAAAAATTAAAAATCAGAAGAAAATAATTGCAAAAAAAAAAATGAAAAAGAAAAAAGAAAAAGGAAAAAGCGAGAGAGACATCCAAAGTAGGTCGAATAAATAATCCTCTTCTTTTCCTTTCTTGCTCCTTCTTCTGCTTCTTCTGCTATAACACACAGAGCTAGTTAAAAACCCTGGAGATCGCCCAAAAATGTTCTTTTTTTAGTATTTTAAATAAGTGCTCTTCAGCCGGGAACCAACACCCTCCCTCCAAAAAAAAAATCATATATGTATAAAATAACGATAAGAAGAATACGAAGGGGGTGCTCCTCCTCCTTCTCTCTCTCTCTCTTTTTTTTTTTTTTTTTTTTAAGTTTAGCCTTCTCTCCTCTGCAGGAATGGAGTAGGAGACAGGAGGAGGGAGAGAAAGGAGAGGAAGAAGGAGCAGGAGAAGGGGAAAACAACTAGTAAAATATGTAAGAAAAGAGAAAGGGGAGAGAAGAGAGAGGGAGAGAGGAGAGAGGGCGAGGGGGGAGAAAGAGGAGAGAGGAGAGGAAGAGAGGAGAGAGAGGGAGAGGGAGAGAGAGAAAGGGAGAGAGAGAGGGAGGAGAGGGAGAGAGAGAGAGAGAGAGAGAGAGAGAGAGAGAGAGACCCAAAAATTGAATGCGTTTAAACGGGAGGACTCGCAGAGCAGTGTTTCCGAAAGGGGGATCTGCGCGAATGTCTGTATATAGTGAACTTTGACACTACTATTGAAACTGACACGTTTCTATGGAGATCGCTGCCTTATATGGAGCTCGTGTCAAGGAGCCAGGAGAAGGGCTGCTGGCAACTGATAATCAAAGGCGACTGACTGGTCAGAGCCCCGAATCGGGGGGGAGAGAGAATGGGAGGCTAGGGTTAGCCAAGCCTCCTGCACGCCATTGGCTGCTCAGCCCCTCCCCCTCCTCTTTTGCTTTCTTTCTTTTTTTTTTTTTTTTCTTTTCCCCTCCCTCTTAGCTACCTACGGTCTGGGATAGCGAGGGGAGGAGGAGAGAAAGTGAAGGGGGGGGGGGGTGCTCCTGACAAGCGCAATTTACATTGAGATCGCCCTGCGCTGCTATTTACTCTGAGACCTGATTAGTATGGGTCGGCTATGGTCACACAAACACACACACACACACACCCGCGAGCGCGCGCACATCAGAGGGGGAAGGGATGAAGAGGGGGAGAATGCTTTGCGATGAGAAAAAGAAGAAAAAGAGAGAAGGAAATTATTTCTATTTCTTCTGAAAAGTTTTTAAAATTAGATTTTATGACCGTAAAGAGAGTCATTGAAAATGTTGGGGGGAACATTTTAGTGGGAAAGCAAGCCCCCATTTTAGTGATTTGTGAAATATGCTGGATTTGGATTGTTTTCTTCTTTCAAATCTCATACATAATCCTAGTCTGGATTCTGCTCATTTTGTGTGTGTGTGTGTGTGTGTGTGTATGTGTGTGTTTCTTTTTAAAGAATAAAGCTATCATCTCCCTAGTTTTTGATCCAGAGTATATCCTTGTTTTGAAGGTTTAATAACGACCATGCACACGAGTGAAATTTGCAACTACTGCCACGATTTCAGTCTGAATCAGCGGTTCCTTTTCATCCCAAAGATGATTTTAAAATAAACTTTCCAATCAATCTGGCTTTTCCTTTTTCCTTTTTTTTCCTTTTTTAAATCCCCAGGCTCTTCCAAACTCCAAACAATGCTCCCGTAATTATTAATACAACAGTAGTAAGTCTTCGTATCGTCGGGGGAGGGGGTTAGGGAGGGCAAGTCAGAGTCCCAGGAAAAGAGCAAAGGAAGGAGGAGAGGGGAGGAGAGGGGGAGGAGAAGGACACAGAGGGAGACGGTGGCGGGCAGGGGGCGGAGACTGAGACCCCGATTCCCGAAGGTGATTGGTCGCAGGAGGAGGGGCCGGCGGGAGGAGCGGGTCCCGCCGCGGGGCCTGCAGGAATCCCTGGCTCCGGCTGCCACCTAGCGGACGGGAGCCGCTCCCGGGCGGCACGCGGCGCAGTCCCTCCGCCCCTCCCCGCAGGCAGCCTGTGTCTTTTCTCCAAACCAAGACAGCACTTTGAAAATCTTTCAATGGATTTTTTTTTTCCTTGAAAGATCGTACTGGGGGAAAATGATACTTCTATTAGTTACATATTCTCCAATCCCACACTCGGACCCCCCTCGTTTGGAGATCGCTCCCCTAGGCAGGCTCGGGCGGGCGCGCCGAGTGACAAAGCCTCCGCCGTCGCCGCTGCCGCCGCCGCCGGGGGTGGGAGCCGCGCTCGCCCGCCCAGCCCTCGACTCCGGAGAGCGTAAAAGTTTGTCACAGCTCACGCGTTCCGAGCTCCAACACGCCCTCAGGTAAAGGTCGAAGTACACGGTCACGCTGTGTAGACAGAGGTAGGGTCTGTTGTTTTTGTTTTGGCTTTTTAAAAATCCTCGTTCTCACTTTAAATCTCACCAGGGAGGGGTTTGGGGAGCCCTGCGCGTTCGGGGTAGGTTTTGCGCTTCTCGGTCTTTCCAACCATACACGTCGGGAGTCGGAGACCGCTTAGTGACGGGCGATGAATTTTTTTAAAAGCGCAGAATAAAGGCTTTCTCGAGTCGGCCCCACAGCCCCTCCAGCTCGAATAATGGAGAGGTTGTCGCGCACTCCGCGCGCCGCGGCCCTTTGTAAGCAGCTGACGGCGAGGAGGAGACCGGGGGTGGCAGGGCTCCTGGCCCTGGCCCCAGTGCCCAAATACACGCGCTCAAGTCTCCGGGGCAGGGAGCGGGGGAAAGGAACATGATTCAGTACAGGGAGGGAGGGCCGTGGGAGGGAAGGAGGAAAAAAAGAAAAAGAGTGAATTTGTATACAAATTCTACATTTTCCTCCCCATGCAGCCGGAGGCAGGGAGTGGAGAGCCCAGGCAGCCGGCCGACTGCTGCGGCTGGAAAGGCAGAGGCGCGGAGAGAGGGGCAGAGAGGGTGGGGAGAAAGGCGAGCGCGCGCGGGCGCCGGGGCCCCTGCTGGACGTCCCCGCCCAGCCGCCTCGGACCCCGGACCGCTCGTCGTGGGCACCAGAAGCGAGACTCGCCAAATCCGGCCCCAGCAGGCAAGTAACACAACGACGAGCGTTTCTTTTGAACTTGGGGTTGGTAACGCCACCAGGCCGGGCGGCGGTCCCGGTTCGCACAGCCTCCCGAGGCTGGGGACGCAGTGTGGCGGCCCGCGCGGGACCCGAGAACTGCCCCCCACCCAGGGCCTGCTCGAGCGCGGCCCTGACCCCGGCGTCTGCCCCGCCGCGGCGCCTCCCCGGAGGGGAGGATCCTGCCAGCCCAGCAGCACCCCAAAGTCAGAACAGGTTTCTCCCCCCCCCCCGGCACTCTCCCCCAACTTCCCCCACCCCCACGGCGGGCAGGGGCCTCAGGGTGGGACCCCAGGTTGGGCATCGCCTGGCCTCCCCCGCCGGAGCCGCGGAGCTGGCCGGCCTCGGTGCTCGCGTCTCTCCCGCTGCGCCCGGGACCTGAAGAGCTCTGCTCCGCCGCCCACCTGCGGACGGCGTTTGTAACGCGATTCCCTGAAGGAACGCAATCGATGGCCGCCTGTTTGATGTGGGCGATAGTGTCAGCGGATTAAAAGGGACATCAAGCCGTTTTCCCAAGCGGAGAACCTGCGGGGGCGGCGGGGAGATCTGCGCCAGGGTCTGAGCCCCGCGGCCGAGCAGACTCCCCTCGCCGCGGCAGGCGGGCTGGGGGCGGGGAGGGGTCGGCTCCCGGGGTGGGGGACGAGAGTGCGTGTGTGGGAAAGGAAGAGCCTCAGTTCAACCCAACGAGAGCGTTTTCCTCGGTGTTGGGCAGGGGCGGGCGTTTGCGTCAGAGGGCGCGCGGGGCGGGGGGCGGGGGCAGACGCCTGGGACCGCGCCCGGGGGCTGGGTGGCTCCTGAAGGAGGCAGCCTGGCCGGTCAGGGCTGGGCAGGGGTCAGGCCTTGCAGGCGAGGGGCAGGGCACGGCGGGAGGACCAGCTGAGCCTCCGCGGGAGCAGTGGCGCCCGCCATCTCCACTGTGGATCCTTCCCGCTTCCAAATTTGCAAAAGGCCCCTGGGACCCTGCGGGACCCTGGGGGTGGGGAAGCTGGGTCCTCAAGGCCTCTGGCGAGGCCGCCGGCTCCCAGGAAGGCGGGGAACAGTGCAGTGCTCCACGGTAGCCCAAGGAGTGGGCGTGGGCAGCTAACAGCGGCGGCGTCCGGACTGGCAAAGCCCTCAGGGTTTAGGAGGGGAGCAGCGTGCTCCCGTGAGGCGAACGTCGTCAGAGAGGCCAGGGAGAAAATGAGGCTTCGAGCGGAGGGAGCTGTCCCTTCCGGTACTCATTCTGCTCCAGGAGCACTTAGGGCTCCATTTCTCTTCCGGCCTCCCCGCGCCCCAACCGCAGTGGCACCCACAGAGCACTCTGCTTGGGCTCACAGCTCCGCCTCCGGCAAAATGGTTCCGGTGAAGGGGCTGAGGGTCAGCCCAGGTCCGGGAGAGTCCTGGCTTTCTCTCCAAGCCTGCGGTTTGATCCTGCTCCAACTTGGTACAAGTCGTTCTGGGCCCAGTTCATCTGACACCCAATCAGCAGATAACGGTGTCTGTTCTTGGGCAGGGCACTGAATAGAAAAGTGATCATATTTTTCAAGGGCGCTTGAATCCCCAAACTGTGAAATTCCACACACGTGTCCAGGCTCGCTCGGCTGCAGGAGCAGGAAAAGCAGTTGCAATTTCTACTTCTTTTTCACCCATCTTCTCCAGATTCCTCTTCCTCCGCCCTCATCTCTAATTCCCAAACCGGAAACGAAATGAACCTGGATGTGGTTCTTGGGCTCAGACCCATAGTGGCCCTTGCTGCAGCACCGTATCCTAAGCATCCAGCCGGGCCAGCTGGGGGCACCTGGCGCCTCGCCCTCTCCAAAGTTGCTCTCCTGGTGAGGCCAGTCTGGGAAGTAGAAGGGCCTGGAGGTGGCCTGGGCTCCCAGGTCTCCTTTCTGGGAACTTCCTTTGCCTTCCTGGTCATCACAGGACATCTCTAGTGTGGGTCCCCCCAGGCGATGAGAAGGTATCCTCCACTTAGGAAGAGGCATTAGGCTGTAAGATTACAATACCTTTTGTGGGCCGCTAGCGTCATGGCTGGGCATCAATCACTTTTTAAAAGCCCTACCACACAACACTTGATCTCTCCCAGCTGGACAGCCAGTAAGTAGTTGTGATCTGGTGGGAAAAGGAAAGACGTGGTTGCATACAACACTGACTTGTGTTCCAGGCCCAGACTCTGGATCTAAACAGCCATTTTAGCCCATGAACACCGCCCCCCCCATCTTTCTCACAAGGAAGAAATTAGTGACCCATTCTTCACTAATCCTGTGCCTCTTTGCTATTGGTATTTTGCTCTCCTAAAAGTCATGGATCATTCATTTTGGGTTTTGGGTAAGTCACACTGAACAAAGGTGGTTTTGTAAAATCGTTTTCTAAATCCAGTTCACAAGCCATGGGATGCCACAGATGACCAGATGTGTATAGAAAATGCTCTCCTATACCTCCTCCTTCCCATAAGCCACTAAAACAGTCCTATTCTGTTTAGAGAAACCATGGGATAAAGCCATCCTGTTTTATCAAACTCATCCCAGGGATAGATCTGCTCACGTTCACTCGGAGGACAGTCAGTTCCTCTGATCCTAATGCAGACCCTTCCCAAAGAGCTTATTTTATAGGCACTGACTCAATTAGCCTCCCTTAGCACGAGACTAAGGCAAGGAGGAATATAGTTGAGGGTGTTTTTAAAAATGGTCTTGTACAGATCTTTTAGAGGAAGGAGTGGAGAGAGGCAAGCGAATGCCCACCTAGTATTTTGTGACATTCAAAATCAAAACCATAACAAACATAAGGTTTCAGCATAACTTGGAAAATCTCTCTCCATTCCTGAGCCTCCAGCCAGTCTACACTGGGACAGAGTGCAGCTGTAAAAAGTTTCCTCTTTGTCAGAATGAAAACCAGTGTGGAAAGCCTGGCACCTGGGTTCCTTCCTGGCTGCATGCTCTTCACCTGCCCATGTAGTTGAGTGTGGACCCAGTGCTCCCTGCCATTCTGTAGTCCAAGCATTTCTTGTTACTTTCGGGTTGAGTAGCTCAAAAATAAGCGCTTTACTTTAGTAAGTGGTTTAGTTTTTTTCCCCTCCTTCTTCAAACTGGCCATTTGAAGCATATGTTTTGGAAAAGAGAGATAAGGGAGAACTCTCCTTGCATGCCTGGGCTTCCAGTTAGAAGACCCAAGAGTAGCAGTCACCAGAGGAGGGCAGGAGAGCAAGCACTGGCCTTTGAATGCAAATTAAGACTCCTTAGAGAAGCAAAAGTGACAATCATTTCTAGGACGTCAGTAAAGCTAGAGCCATATATATATATGTATATGTATATATATTATATATATATATATTTGGTAAGAAATCAAGTCTTGGCTATCTAAACGCATTTATGCAAAAGTAAAGAAAGAACTGGAGACTTTTCTCTTACAAAACATATTTCTTTATTTTAAATGCCCAATATGAGTGTGTGAGTGAAGAATAACCACATGGCTATTCTTCCCAGGGAAAATGGGTTGGGTTTGGATGAAAAGTTGAAGTTTTGAATGAGTTTGA